TATATATATATATAGTTGTAAAATGCACGTGTGTGTGTGTTTAACACCCCCCCCCCCCTCCCATAGCAATCAAATTTAAATTCCTGCGCACGCCCCTGAGTACGCTCCCATGAGCTCACTCTGCACAAGTTAAGTTTAGCGCGAGACATACTTGTGATATAGAATTTCGATTTTGAGGGGCTACAAGCTATTTCATCCTAACGTGTAATTTAAAATTAAACAGAAGACACGAAATCGTAAGTGAAAATATCGAAGACTTTTACACTTATTGATAACTTGTATATGATTAAACAATAAATTATGGGAAAATGTGTTTTAATTAATAAGTTTAAAACAAGATAATTTTAATGGGCACTACAAATGACCCCTTACTTGTCGATCTGTGTTAGCTCAGTCAAAGAACCCTCCTCCTGGATTCCATTCCCGGCGTGGGAGAAGTGAGCCTTGGGTGGGATGTGGCGAAGAAGGCCGGTTTCCAGCAATGACATATTCGCTGGGATGCACATAAACTGTCTAAACACTCCAGGAGGCTTAGGCTAAGACGATCCGACGATCCTGAAACGTATAATAGAGGGCGCTATAACTTCTGCGTTTAATTTACCAGCAAGACAACTACTGACCTATTATCATGCCCATGGCGTGAAAAACAGATAATTAAATAATTAAGTTCACATAGCCGAACCTTAGAAACAGACCATGTAGCCAACACTTACCCCTTACCTCAGAACAACTAAGGACTAACTCCCTATGCTGCCTTTACACCTAAGACAAAAAATGTATAGTGAATGCGTTTTTCAAGATGCACATTAATTCCAATCTATAATTGTTTAAAAAGTTGTTTTCGATTATCAAATATATTGCATATACTTACTGTTTCAAAAGAGACACATTAAAAGTAACCACTAATCTTATTGGCTTACAGACTGCACGTGACGCTGAGAAAACCGTGGTGGCTTAAAATGGATTAATGGTTATCTGTAAGTTGTTTCTTAAGATGCAGACAATATTTCTGTTGTATAAGTATCAACTTTAGTTTGTTAATAAATAGAAAATATTCCAGCACTAGTTTATGAGCAGTTCGTTTATTCTTCTCCAAAATAGATGTCTTTATCTACTGAAAATAAAAATCATCGGAATTTTTCAGTGGCTTCAATACTCTGTTGCATATATTAGAGATCGTGATTTAGTGACATATGTTTGTGAATATGTATACACATTACTTCTCAGAAATGTACATTAGTTTGAGTTCAAGTAAGTTGGAGTTATAGGATGTATAACTGGAATCTTCATTCGTCTTCAAAGGTAACATTAGTGTTATACAACAGTATAGGATTGGATTTTCTGTTGAAAGGATTTGTTTTGAATCTATAAACTAAAGTATAAATTTTAATTTTTAGCCGCGGCAAGGTGGCTCATAGAAGGGTTCGAGTTTTTTCCAAGTACAAACTTTTACCTCATAGCTCCGTCATCTCTTGACCGATTTGAGATCTCATTACAGTTTTGGATTCAGGAGGTCAAACCCTTTCGATTGATGTGTTTGACCACGCCTACGGTCTCATAGATTAATTTATTCTAATCCTGCCTAAAATAAATTCAATTTAAAGGTAGACTAGTAGAGATCCTGATGAGTAATAAAGTCGAATCGAGTATACGTGCGCCATACGCTTGGTATTGCTGGCAAGCAAAATTTCAGCTAATAAAAAGGAGAAAAAAAGGTCTTGTATTTTGATTTACTCTAATCCTCCCTAAAAGAATTTCAAATGCCGCGGCTATTGAGGGTTTCCTCTTGTTTCTAGTAAAAGAAATGGAAGTATTCAAATTTTCTGTTTCACAAGAAAATAAGATCGAAAATATTGAACTGTAAATACATTTACTGTAAGAAATTATTATTTTTGAAAATTCTGTTTGTTTATTTTTTTCTATTCATTTTCTCTATATTTTATTAACTTTTTTGTAGTATACCTCATAAACGCCTTTTAATGTATACATCACTTAATTCCCATTATCTAGCGTACTAGTAAACTGACTTAGAAATGATAAATTTTGTATGCCTTTTGTTTTGGGCCTTTATTTATAATTTATTGTTGTTGTTTTTCCTGTGCCGATCACCAGATTGTTAAAACAGAAGCTGTCTTTGTTGAATTTTACTAGCATATATTTTGTGAAATATTTTGGTATTGGCCAAAATTTCGGTTTCTTTGTAAAATGAAATGCACAGACACACACAAACACGAACGAGCCGGACATAGCCTGACGGTTGGAGATCCTGGAATATAAGTCTGATGGTTTATTGTTCGTGTCCCTTTGTAATAAAATGCTCTACGCACGATTAAAAATCAGTAACCCAAGAGTTAGCTGTGGGTGCTGTTACCTAGCTGTCTTCTATCTACTCTGTCATTGCAAAATTTTGGGACAGCTATGCCAGGATAGTCCTTCGTGTGCATGTGTGCGAAATTTTGTAACAAACAAACAAAAACACTTCAGCACGATGCAAATGCTCCAACTATACTCACCCAATATTCACAGTTCACGTGTTTGCTTGCGTGACAAATTGAAGTCATTTTTCAAAGGTGGGAAAAGGTAAAAGATTAAAGCAAAGCAAATGAGAACATTTTTCGGGAGACAGAAAAAGTAATCTTTCATTCGTCCAAGGACAAAACAGCGTGTAACACGTATCTGTTTGTAAAGTATTTTCCCATAACTAATAGCAACCTCGGGGTATAAGTAGACTAAGCCAAACAAATAATATTAAGGAGAACAGTCGATTTGACCTACCTCAAACTATAATTGAAACAAAGGCCACCTATATGATTTAAAATTTTATAATACAGGATAAAAATGCACTGTAAATAGAATTAAAGAGTTTTAAGCATTCTTTAAAAATATCAATTATATGTTTAAGAACCCCAATATTATATTACGTAGGATTTTAGAAAAAAACATATAAATAACTAAATATAGATATGCACTAAATTCGAAAAAACAGACGATATTAAAACTTAAAATTTCCCATTACTATTGCGTATCCACCCAGAGACTCATTGGTACGTCTGAGGGTTTATAACGTTAAAATTCTGGTTTCAATACCTACATTATAATGCTTTGTGTTTAACAAGAAACTCATCAAAACAAACAATCACACGTATAGGCGTTTTCATTTGCATTTCTTACAAACAAATTATGTAACAAATCATCTAACATCTTTGACATTATAGAGCAGTATCAACTCAAAAGGCTCACTATTATCAATTGCTAGCGTAAACAGAAAATTTACCACATTGCTCTTACCCATTTTCTTGAAGTGTTATTCCTTGTAGAAAATATTTTCAGGGGTACTTCACATCTAACTTAGTCTGTTTTTATATCTATAGTTAGGAAATTAATTTAATATGCACATCTCTGATGCGAAATCTGTAAAGGGCTAATTAAGTTTGTTTGTAATTAAACACAAAACTACACAATGGGCTATCTGTGTTCTGTCCACGACGGGTATCGAAACCCAGTTTCTAGCGTTGTAAGTCCGCAGACATGCCGCTGTGCCACTGGGGGTGGTTAATTAAGACAATGTAAAGATAAAATATCTGCAATCAAATATGATTTGAATAATTTTCGCTAGGCCTAAAAATTTCATCGCCAACTTAGATATTTTTTTACATTATAATTCAAAATATTGCATATTCATAAAATTATAACATTTCTATTGCCCTAAATCTAAAACAATAATTAAAGTGCATCTACAATTATCCTCCAGCTCTTGTTTCGAGTTCTTTATTGTTTAAGTTAGCTTATGTCTGAACTTTAATGAAAGTAGAAAATAAAATAACATTTTATTAATATTGAAACTTATTATACAAGTTTATATTAACTTAATTTTGCATTACTAGAGGAGATCGTAAATTGTTTTCAGATTATTAATAACAAATATTAGATGAAATCATGTTATGGAATTTGGAAGTCAGTATCGCATTTAAGGAGAAAATTTTAAAAAATGACGCATCAGTTATTTAATTTCATGCTAAAGAACTGATTATGATTGAGCGTAAAGAAGAGAATAATAATGTCAACTACGCTATAATTGTTATATCCAGTACCGTGTCCCAAGTGAATCCATAGTAAGTCTCCGGACGCTAAAATACGGGGTTCGATCCCCCTGGTGACCAGAGCGCAAATAGCCAGTTGTGTAGCTTTGCATCAAAACATCCAATACCGACGATGCCTTTCGCCCAATTCCAGAGCTCATCAGGCTGGTTGGGACACGACAGACATAGAAGTATTGTACGAGACGCTATTTATATCATCAGTTGTTTGAATAACAACTGCTATGATGTGAACTAGATTAAGTTAGATAATTGTAATTTATCATTTTTTATTTAACTCGTTACACGCCAATGTTAACAACGATATAGCAGGTGGCGTGGCCGTAGTTTAGAAAGTGTAAGAAAATCTAAATTATCAGTTAATTATCAAGGGTCTTATTTTCTTTAATCCTCACTCTAAATAAGCAACACGTGGCTACGCAGTTTTTTTCTCATAATGTTAATGTTGTGAGCAGTAAAATGCCCATAAAAGAAATAGAAGCAGCAATTAATTGTTGAGTTTAGAGAACAGTGTTAAAGATGTGTGGCGAACAACCCATTAGTCGCCCTCTACCGGTAATTCTGAATAACACCATGGCCGCTAGACGTCGTAAAACTGCCTTGTAATGACAGGTCATTGAGTTGTGGGCGCGGTTGATGACTTCCACCATAACTTTGGATACGTAAAACATGTTTTAACACAGTGCAGCAGCAAAACGAGTACATAAGATCCAGTCAAGGCAGTGGTACGAGATTCTTCAACGTTAGCTTAAGGATTGATCAAAATTACACCTCATAATAGTGCAGTTACTTTACAAAACAGTAGCTTATGTTAACAACATGCTGGGATAATTAGGCTTGATTATGTTTACCACTGATGACGGTAAAAGCACATTTACCGACAAAGTTGACCAGTTAATGATGCATCTGTGAAGTAAATAGCCCACTCAACGTATGGTTTCTCTCATGCAAGTGCTAATGATTAGATACTTATTCCACGAAGCAATAGGATTGGTTTGTTATAAATTTCGCGCAAAGCTTCACGAGGTCTATCTGCGCTAACCGTTCCTAATTTACCAGTTTAAGACTGTAAGATTAGAGGAAAGGCAGCTAATCATCACCACTCACCGCCAACTCTTGGGCTACTCTTTTACCAACGAATAGTGGGATTGACGATCACGTTATAACTCCCCCACGGCTGAAAGGGCGAACATGTTTGGTGGGACGGGGAATCAAACCCGCGACCCACAGATTGCGAGTCAAGCGCCCTAACCACCTGGCCATGCCAGGCCAAAGCAATAAATGAGACGAACTTAAATCTACACTGTTTTGGTTGGATGTGTGATGATGAGATTTTCCCATCTTTTATCTGGGGATAGATGTTCTGCTAACCATTTAGATAATCAAACAATTGTTGTCGTACACCATAATTTTTAAAGATAAAACGGCTACCAATCTACGTAGCTATACTTTTTTTAA